CTCATGTACTTCTTCGCCGTCATGAACGTCGCTGCTAGTAGCTTCTCGCGAAGAGAGCTCTGGAAATACTGGAACAAGTTGGATGGGCTCGAGAGGTGGCATTCCAGTGCCATTTCTATTTGCACAATGACATCGTCCGAGACCGACCCGTCTTGGAAGCACGCGGCGCATGCAAATCGTGCAATCTCCAGCGCGATGCTCCGTAAGCTTTTCAGCCACCGAGGATCCCCTCGAGGGTAGTCTTCGTTCTCTTCCATCAGCGATCCGATGCGGGTGCGGAAAGTAGCGTATGTTTGCGCGGGCGCCGAAAGATACCGTTTCTGTGCGTTGATGTACGACTCGAAGATGAACCAGCAGATATCAAGGTTGATCAGCTTTTGGAGACAAGATCGCAGCTGCCGCAGCCGGTCCGAGTCGAAAACAAACGTTTCAGGGAACTTGTCTGGTCGCCGGTACTGCAGAAGAAAGTCGGTGATGCCACCAAACAACAGAGAGATGGGCCAGAACCCGTCCATCTGAGTAGGTTTCGACATGCGGCACAACTCTCGATCGCGGAGGTCCAGATACCACTGTCGCGATGTTTCCACACAGAAATTGTCCCTCTCGATCTTGCCTCGGAAATAATCCTGTAGGAACGGAACGGTGTCTTCAATGAGCAATACACGGAAAGCACGGATTTGGTGATTGGCAACATCCTAGAGACACATTAGCAATTCCATTTAATATGCGTGGCCGCCAAGTCCAGCATGCCCGATCCTTACCAGTTTCATCGCTTCCAAGATTGCGAACAGTGTTTTGAGCCCTTCGACGATTTGGTGCGAGTTTTGCGACTCCGACCCTGACCGTATCTGCTTGACCATCTTATCTGCCCATTCATCGCGCATAGGAGCGCAGTGTGTCTTGAGCAAGGCCGCCAGCCAGCTTGCCACACCCACCATATCAAGTACGCCCTTCTGTATTTGTTGCATCAGGAGTGTTACCTCGAGATTTTGTACCACAGCCGGATGGTCCCGCTCAGGGACGAGCGTTTTCAGGACGTCTTGCAAGGTTTCGAACATGGCGGGTAGCCGCGGTTCAAAGGTCCGCGATAGATTATCTGAGATTCCAACATTGTCTGTCCCGTTCGTCTCTTGTGCGGCACCGAATGCATATATAGCGATCTCATCAGCCATAGCCTCCCAGTAGTCGTGGGCCTCCTTTCGTTTCCGTTCGCCTTTTTCTCCCTGCAGGTCAGGTTTAAAGTGAAGATCACGGTCAAAGTTGGCGTCCATTCGGAGGTTAATGTTGCTCATGATACAAGGCAGGTCCAGTTCACTAAGCGTACTCTTGGTCACTGGCGGATACCTTTTAGCAGCTAGTAGCCGTTGATGTTGTTCCAAGCTGAGTGGTAGGGCTGGGGGAATGTGCATTGCTCGTGCAGACGGCGCCAGAACACGTGTTGCCATCTGGATAGGCGACGGAAATGTTGGGGCTACACCATCACGGTAGGTATATTTACCCGGCTGGCGTCGCTGGTGCATATTCGCGGAGTCGGGGGGGCTCTTCGCATCGCGATGGTGGTCCAGAGAGTCATTCTTGGGCGAGTCCTTCGCATGGCCACTGCCTCCATATGCTTCCAAGGGGCATTCGGAGTTTTCTTCCTTCTTGCTCGGCGTATCTCGCCGGGCCTCCTTCGTTTTTTGGAAGTCCATCTCCATCCGATCTTGCCAACGCCCAGAAAGGGTTCGGAGCAGACGAGGTAGGATAAACTGCACCAGTCCAGGAAGAGAGATGGTCTGGGGTAGACTCGGAAGAATGGATAGATGAAATCTGGAGACAGCGATTAGAACGTGGGGATCACGGGCATTTCCTGGGCGATAGGACGCAAGGCACCGGAAGCCCTATACTCGACGGCGGGTTCGGATTGGGATCCCTTCGCAGCGACCCTGCGAACAGTCCTTGCCTGCGGTCGACAGGAACCCAGGTGAGGGAGGGAGAAATAGTACGCACCCGAGGTTAGTCAACGACGTCGATCGCCAATGCCGATCATAAAACGGGCAATCGTGGATGCCGGGCTTGTCAAAATAGTGTTTCGATAGTAGTAAGACCCTAGGTGAACCTTTCGGGATTGGGGCCAATTTCCTTGTTTTTTGCGAATCGGAATTTCAGTTTCCTCCTTTCTCCTTTCTCTTTTCCTTTTCTTCTTTCTTTTACTTTTTTTTTCCCTCACTGTTTTTTCTCTTATCTGCGTCTCCTTGCCAAGTCAAAAAGCTCGAAGAAACCGGCCGGGCACCAGATGAAACTGGGTCGAGGACCGTCGCAGGCAGCAAAGAGATATGAAAGGAACAAGGTCCAATGGCTACGCGACAACAACAAGAAAAGAGATCACCGTAGCAAACAAAGGTAGTTGGCAGAGTGAAGTTCAATGGCGACAAGAGAAGCAGTAGACAACGTTGCTCTGACAAATCGCGTCCAACCAGGTTGACAAAGAGACCGGGATATCAGTTGTAATGATATAGCCAATGACGAGGAGGGGAGATAGGCATGCAGGTTCAGTATACTCCTATACTACTAAGTAGGGAGTACTTAGTAGTAACGGTGTTCAGAGCCTGAGGAGAAGGATGGCCCTGCACGTAATCAAATTTTAAGGAAGGAGGGTTTACAAGCCCGCAGTAGGTTGGACACACGAGCCACCAGACGGAGAGCTAAAAGGAAAGAGAAGGAGTGCGGCGCAGTAGCATCGCAGTAGATAGGGACAGAGAAGGGGAAAAAAGACAGAGAGTGCGTGCGAGAGAAAGAGAGAGAGAGAGAAAGGTTAGAAGACAGCCAGCATGCGACTGACTAGTCAGAGGCACCCACTGCCTTTTGCAGGAGCGCTGCGAAAAGTGAGGCTGATCTAATCTAGACGCTTGCAGCAGCTACGAACTTTCCGGGGCGCTGTTTCGCACCTGGGAACGGGCACCGAGGGAAAGGGAATTTTGGAAACGTTCAGCGAGTCGGTCCAGCGATCCCTAGTCACATAGTGGATGACGTGGGATGCTTGGAGGGGGGGATTTCCCTTTTCTTAACTGGGTTCGTTCTGGCAGGCGAGTGGGTAAAAAGGATGGGATCAGATGAGGATCAGATGGGGATGGGATGGGATCACTGCTGCGCCGTGAGCCTGCTTCTGATCCTGATCCGTTCGTTCATTCCTTAACGGCCGCGCGAGGGCGCAGAACGAAACTCAAATCTCACCACCAACAATCCCTGCTGGCTTTTTGCCAATATTTTTTACTCTTTTCCCCCTCCCTTCCCCTCCGCCCCCAGCAGCATTCCTCAGCAACAACAGGAAACCCCCCCGGTATCGTGTACGATCTCAAAATCCGGGCGTGTGCCGGTGCCAATGCTGGTACCCGGCCATTGTGGGAGTGAATCCGGTCCTGGCTGTCCCTTACCATCGGCGCCGATGTGATAGGGAGGCCGTCCCCCCCAGAATCCCAATCATGCGTTCAGCGACAGGCGCCACCAATCCCTCTGGTCAGGATAGGATATATTCGGCCAGGAGGAAGGTGGGAGATCGTCGAAAAAGAAACGAAATAATTTAGGTCAGTGTGCAGAAGGGGCCGGACACAAGCACGGAGTATACATGCACCTCTGTACCCAGAGGGCATTCGGTGTATTCCCACTTGAATAATGTGCAGACAGCCAAAGGGACGATGCAGCCTGCCGTCCCCGGTGTTCAGATCAATTTGGGCCACGGATCCATCTTGATCCGGCTTCTTGTTAAGGGTGTATTGCTTTTTCTTCTCTTATTTTAATTCTTACTTTTTTTTTTCTCTTTTCTTCTTTTTGCCTTTTTTCTCCTTTTTGCTTCCCATTTAACCTTTTGTCCTGGGAGTAATAGAAACCAGGGCAAAGCAGGGGGCATCCGGGCATTCCAGCCCTTGATGCATCCAGAAGTACTCCCGAAGCTATCCTTGCGATGGACTGTCTTCGTCATTGTCGACATACTGAAGAAGATCGGGATATAACTCTGTCAGGACATCCATGTCCGCTCCGATCAGATCATTCCAATTCCTTCCTCCGTTCTGATTACTCTTTTGTGGCCTTTCTCCCAAAGCGGGAAACAGTCCGCCAACGGCTCTATGCGACACCGACCATTGCTAGACAAGGCCATCCCCGTCATGCCATCCGGATTGACCTCGTGTTGTGAATGGTACATTCTAGTCGCCTGTACCCTGTCAGGTACAAATTAATTGTCCCTGTGGTCTGCGCGCCTCCAGCGCCCCTACTGTACAATGATGCTGCCTCTCCGAAGAAGATTCTTCCGTTGGTCTGTTTGCGATCGAAGCACTGAAAAATGCTCCATCGAAACCTTAAAGCCCGGTCGTAGGACTCATCACCTACTTCGTTCTATCGTGTGTGGGATTGACAATGATAGTTTCCGACTGAATTCCGTTTTGGTCCACCGACATTCAAGAACTGCGATTGAGTCTTTCTTTCGGTGACCGCCGACGGAAAGATTGCGCTACAGACCCCTATTCCTTCACCATTGCCGTCTTCCGTTGTAGGGGCAACAGGGGGTGGTGCTAGAGGGGAAGTGGTTAAACCAAGAGCCGTGATCATAGTTTCTTACCTCCCATTGTTTTCCACTTTTCCTTCCTTGGGGTGGGACATGGGGGATGTTAACCGATCCACCCGCCCCTAGCAGATTGATAGATAGAAAAGCCCACTCAAGAGTCTCGGTCGGAGTGGATCTCACACACGCGTGGTGGCATCGGTAGGCCAACCCGAGTCAGCGACAGCCCTGGACCACACCTCCTCCCCAGTCTTAACCTCAATATCAGAATCCGGCCGGGCTTCCCCCCCCCCCTGCAAGTGGGCTCACGCGCGGGATGAGGAATGGACTATTGACACCGACCGCTCCGTAAGTACTTTGTAAGTGGGAGGAAACTATCGATCGACATCGTAAGATTATTATTTAAGCTCGGAGTCTGCTGAAGGGTGGAATCTTAAAAGACGTGCCAGGGGGGTGGATACACCCAGGGAAGCAGTCGACCAAAACGGAGGGGGAGCAGACAATGTGGCTGGATCATTATCCAAGACCGCGCACGAATAAAGGGGCTTGACTGTCGGCGGTCTTGCGTGCGCTTGGCGCCTCACTTTAGTAGTGCACCGATCACGATGGATTTGACCCTCCAACGCAAACTCGCCTCATTATTCCGGACCTGGTCGGAGAGGCGGCAATTGGAAAGCCAAGCCCGTTTGCAAGCAAGCCGGTATAAAGAGCGGTGATGGTTCAGACCCATTTCTTCATGCCAACCTGCAGGCGACAATCTGAGAAGTATGTCCGGCTCTGCACCCTCATTGGCTCCGTGTCTAGTAAATTTGTTTTCTACTCTGATCTTGTTGAAGCGGGGCGGGGAGGCGATGCCGTTTCTCTCCGTCCGCCTGGGAATTATCATTGACAAGGCGGGATGGAATGAGTGGTGGTGGTGAATGGTGACAGGGGAAGGATGACGCCTATGGCTTTTTACTGCTCTCTGGCTGGCTTCCTTTCTATTCCAACGACACCGACTTTTCAGTGGGGTTGTTCGGCCCGTAGTCGCGACGCTTGCTGCATCATCTGAGCTGATGATCCGAAAAAGTGATGCTTCCAATCCGACGATAGGCAGCCGCGAAACCGACGACAGTGAGAGCGAATGCAGATGGGATGCCGCTGGATGGATGCGATGGGCTCCAGGACTCGATGGTGACATGGATGATAGGGAAGAAGATTCCTTGTTTGGAGACAATGTTCGATCCCGTGACAGCACCATCGGCCCTAGCCCTGTGCCCCGTGCCCCGTGCCCTATGCAGCTTCGAGGGGTTTGCAGGATGCTTTGCTTCTGCTTCTACTTCATTTTAATCATCCCAGCATGTATACAGGAAGTAACTAGTCTAGGCATTGGCGGAGTGCCTGTCAGTGCTTGTCACTTCTTTCGCGACTAGCGTCCTACGGTTATCCCCACTGCTACAACGTACCATGGTTGACAGGGAAGATTAGTATCTTCCATCCAAGGCTGGCTGGAAACAATATCCGGGCAGTATACGAGCAGAAAGACGTACATATGCCAATTGATTGGTATCTTTGTTCTACCCTCCCCTCCAATCGCTGCAGGACCGACCAATGCCCACTTTACGTTTCGTAATACATGCCACAATTGACATAACTAACTCCTAATCGTTTACTAATAAGTATGACCAGAACGGCCAGTTTCAACAATGCTGGAGGGATATTGACTGGACACTACATCTCTCATCCAAGTGAACCAACCTTCTCCATGTCAAGAGCGAAAAGGCTGTGCAACTATTGCCGAATCTGCATCTATCTCACCCACGTCGCTTACAACCTCCCCTTACCATTGATTGACTACTATCTACCACATCCCTTTAGCAAACACCATTCTAGAAGATCCAAGATGCCACAGAAAGCTAACCAAAGCCTATCTAAATCCCCAGAGCGCCACCCAGCGGGATCCCATCATCCCAGCCAAGCCAAATCAAGCCCTAGACAAAGACATCATAGTACACCTCTCCCTCCCTCTCTTCATCCCCCTTCTTCCCTCCTCACCTCGGACACAGATCCCAACCAAACATTACCTCCCAGCCAAGCATTTCATCCTCCTTCATATTCATCTCTCTCCCCCTCCTCAATCAGATCTTGTACAACCTACACCCCACATAACAGGGAATCAACAGACCTCCTACAACCCCCCTGCCTACACTTCGCTTCTTCATCAGCAGCAAACAAACAAACAAACAAACAAGTATTGAATGCATCAACAGTCTGTACCACGGGCCTCCACCAAGTCCAAGCACCCCCTGGTTTATGCAGATACAGCATTGGTAATCGAACTGTATCAGCATCAATAACGCTCTCGCTCGCTTGGATCCCCCCTCTTCCATCCCCGGATGACCGTCGCAATCTCAATTCCCTCCCCTCCCCTCCATTCCATTCTATTCCAAATACACCGTCCGTGCAGATTCTGCAGTTCTTGTTTATCCCCCGCATTAGTGCATCTCTATTATGTAAATTGCCACTAGAGATGGAATGTATCATGAGATACAGGGGGGGGGGGGGTTGTATAGATGTCTCAGTATACTACATATACTTGACACATGGAAAATACTTCATTGTAAAAATACTAATCTGTTTCACGATAGATATGTCCGTGTGCTGTATTTCTTTCTCTGTGTGTGAATATGTGAAGTTGCTGTCATTGTGCAGGTAGGTACATAGGCGACGGCATATGCGAGTAATGACTAGTGTTGTTTGTGGGAGATGCAGGATACCTAGATAGTAGATGGTATTTACTGGCCATGAAGTAGAAGATGAGTATGATGTTTGCTCGATTGTTTGCTTACATTCCCACTGTCACTCATCTAAGCGCGGATACTTCATTCGTATAGTATGCACGAGAGTTCATGTTCGGTAATTGATAGCCTAGGGGATATAGATCCGTTACCTGCGGGCTTCTTTCGTTCGTTGCTTTGCTGGAAGCGCGCATAACTTTACAATACTGACCTGCCCGTCAGAATGAAACATATCGTTGAGATTTGTGTTTAGCCTACAGATACAGCGCGTACCATATCGCTTTGCAGACATCCGGCTAAGCCGATCCACAATCAGCACGGACTACGATCTGACCAATACAGGCAAACAAATCACAAGAAATTTTTATTTCATTTCGATCTAGTCATTATCCATCAAAGAGAAGAACCTGGGGGTAAAAGAGAAAGCTAGAAATATGACACGCTATGCAAGGTTTCTGTCCCTGGGAATTAAAAACCCATACGCCATTTTTCCCTTTCGCAAAAAGATAAAAAAAAAAGGCCAGATATGTAATAGTAGATGTCCCTTTTATCCCCGACTCCCTGATATCCGAGTGTAAGATGAATGCGGACAGGGAGTGATGAACAAATAAACAAACGACTAATGGAACAAACAGGCAAACAAGGCTGAACTAAACAAATATCAACAGTGTAGATCAGGGCGGGCTGGGTGTGTATGGCTTGAGGGTTCTCAACTCGGGTCACGACTGCGCACGATACAATCCAGGTATACATACTGAAACAGACGCGACCAGGCTCTCTTTCTGGTCCTTGATGATCAAACTTTGTACCTGCAAAGATCATGGGTAAGATATAGAGAGCAGCTACCCCTCGCAGCAATAAGAGCAAGCACAGAAATATGCGACAGAACTCCAATCACCGTAGCACAGACTCCAATCAATGAAACACTGCCTCCCTCGTACAACTGCGAATGCTAACGTCTCACCGACGACTGAAAAATGGCGCCTGATTGGGCATCGAGAGCAACGAGTCAGCTCTCTGAAACACATCCCCTTCGAAGAATTTGTCACTGTACGCACTTGCGGGGGTAGAAGGCACGGTTGCCTGCGCTGCTGGTCCAAGGGCAGCACTTAGCGGAGTCGCCGGGAGATGGACGGACTGTGGGGATACGCCGGAGTTCAGATGAAAGCTGCTTGCATTGGATGCGGTATTTTGGTGCTGTGAATGTTGGGATTGTAGCGGGGGCCCGTATATGGTTGCTGACGCGTTGGCTGGGGCCATATCGGCAAGGTAAGACCACGGGGAGGCATCGATCAACCGACCTGCTTCTCTGCTTGCTCTCTGGACTGGACGAAGTATGACAATGATATCACCCGGGAGAAGCTGCATACTTCGAACCTCCCTCATGTCGGTAACTAGATCGACAAAGGACTGCATGAACGCCTTGCAGAGTTGCCAGAACTCGCGCTGGTTCCGCATCCCGCCGCCGGGCTCTTTTACCTTCATGTTGGAGAGACGAAGACCCAGGGCCTCGGATACTTCTAAGCATACCCGGCACCGCCGAATCAAATTGTTCCATAGCATTAATATGCCTTCCGATTCATGTTCCTGCTCCGCTACCTCATGGCATCGCACTAGCTGACGGCGCGCCAAAGGCAACGCTTGTAGGGCAGCGGTGTAGGCGGAAGTGAGTTGATAGAAAATCTTTTCAAAAATTCGTTCCTCCTCGATCTCATCTAAGCCTGTCAAAGGATTGATTCGAGGTACAACTGCACTGGGCATTGGAGGGAAGGACTCGCCTGAACGAGGGGTCGCGAGTGACGACGGTACGGACGTGTTGATATGATTAGATCTGCTACTTGACCGGCTTCGTGCCCCATAGCTAAACGGAGTCGGAGCAAACCCAGGTGAACTGACAGCGGACTGGTAGTTTTGAGCAGCCTGGAAAGGACCGGTCGTAGTGATCTGAGGGTGCTGGATTGTGGTGTCACTTCGCAACCGACGCGTCGACAAAGAATTCTCCCTCCCTCTGGTTGGAGTGACTGTCGGTCCAAGGAAGCGGTCCGAGCTAGCCGACTCTTTGATTTCAGGTATAGATGGCTTCGTGACAGAGGGCGGCTTGCGGGTTTGGAGTGGGATACCCAGGCTCGCACAGGCATTGCGCAGTTCAACCACGCTGCCAAAGATCATGAGCATCAAGGAACGCAAGTAGCGTGGGTCACCATTGGCGACTATCTTGTCGATGCTATTGCGCAGTTGCGTTCCGACATGAGTGTACGCAATTATGCACGTTTCGCATTCCCTTTTGACAGCCTCATTCGACGAGCGCACCCCATCCACGTCGTCAGAATGGTGCTCCGCGTTCTCTATGGCTTCATTTAGCCGCTCAACGTGGGTAGAAGCATTGTAGAACACAATCTCAAGACTGTTGCGCCGAGCATCATCGCGTTTGATCACATTGATCAGAGACGAAACATTCGACTGCACTTGGAAGAGTGCAAAAAGAATCCCCTTCGCACACTCGATGATAGGTTCCGCGGTTTCCCTTTCGCCCTTGTGTTCTGGCAGACTCGACATTCGGTTGACAAAACCATCCTTTAAGCGCCTGCGTTCCCTCGGGCTACTGGGGCTTGAGGAGTTACTGTTGCACACGGCTGCAATGGGCCGGGTGCGAAGAATAGAGCCATAACTCAAACCCCGTAAATGACTATTCCGATACGGTCGGGTCTCGTCCAACGTCCCTAAGTCGGTATTCTTCCGAATGACTCCCATCCGCTTGTTACGCGCGGCCAGAGAGGCCTGGATGATACCTTCACTGTTGCTCCGGTTTCGTTCATTGACTCCCGCGATAGGCCTTGCGCCGGAACGTGGGAGAAACCCGCCCTGGAAGACTGACTGTCCCGAAGCAATGCGATAGTGTGATTTGAGAGGTATGGGCGGAGGTCGAGACAAGGATGGTGACTTTGGGTCGGAAGAAAGATCACCGGTGCTGGGGATCACCGGAAACCGACTGCTCACTCCGCGCTTGACGGGTTTGGGGGTGTCCAACATGCCCTCGCTGGAAACATCAGAGTTAGTCGGTTACTTTCAGATGACAGATTAAGTCCATACCTAAGCTCGTTCCTCTCCACTTCCAGAGTCGTAACAGGCTGCTTGGTTTTCAAGAATCGCTTCAGCTCGGCAGTAACTGCGACCTCCTTCTCATTATCCGTCATTGTCGAGGGGGCGAACTCTGTCTCAGACGTCTCGAGTAGCCGTCGCAGGGGGCCCCGCAAGGGGTTCCCAGCTACTTTAAGAATTTGAAGTTTGTTCATGTCGGAGATTCCCAGAGGCAAATCGTCAAGGCGGTTCTGCATTACCGATAGAACCCGGAGCGAGGACAATTTCTTGATCT